GTATGCTAGATTGTAGGTTGAATACTACATATTATATACAAATGCATTAATAGATATGACAAAATACTGGGCTGTCCTTTATTTCCTAAATTATGAGGGACATAAGTTTTTGATACGGAACTTTTACAGTCCAAATTCAAGTATTTTGATGGAAAGTAATTTCTTTCTTATGTTATTATTTATATACAGAGATACAATAGTCAAGTTGGTTTTTCCAAATCTGGCTACATATTTTTTTGCATCATTTGACAGAGTTTTCCAACACGATTTCATTTATCCTTCCTTTACGAGGTCGATTTTAATTAGGTTTTGAGATATGGAACTCAAAAACTAATTAATTACTGCGGAGTGGGAATGGGAACCACAGCAAGGCGTCTTGTAGCTAAATTACTTGATGATACCTATGTCTGTGTTAGGATCGGCAGGCCTAAAGGACAATACTTTTCTTTGCCTTCACTGTCGAAGATTACTTATTGCCGAAAAGGACTGTCCTTTTTGTACCTGCCGACCCTAACACAGATCATAAGCGGCTTAGTCACAATAGGATCTCTGTTGTGGTTCCCATTCCTACTAAACTAATCCAACATGAAACGAAGGTAAATGAACTAACATACCATTATTTTTAGTTTTGGGGCACCTCAGATTTGCCCAGTTTTTTACCTTTTCACAAAAATATTAATTATTTTTAGAGATTGTATTTTACTATGGATTACTTTTCATGTCGTTGTCTCGTTGAATTTGTTGAAAATTCTCATGATTACACAAACATCCGCAGCTATAAGCTGGGACGGTGCAGATTTATTTCGAGCATTTCCGTCCCTAATTATTCTGGAAGGTGTCCTCGGGTGATTTTGTAACAGGAATCGTCGCGTTCTACGAATGAAGAACGAGCATTGAGCGTGTAACGGCGGTAGAATTCTATAAATACGAATTCGAGTAAATTGTAATCGCGTGTAACATGATGTTAGATTCTAAAATTACGGGGCAGCGATCATTAGAAACTCCAAGGCGACCCGACAGATAATTTAGTAATAAACCGTGACCCTAAAAGAGCCAAGGTTTCCGAAACGGTATCCACGTTTTTCAGATCAGACAAATTTATGTCAGATGCAATTAGATCTATTACAAAATAATAGAAGATATTTCTGCAATTTTATTATTGCGTTTACAATGACTGTACACTTCTTTTCAATTTTTGCAGTTACATGAAATATTTCATTTTCAATAATGCCTAAATTTGACTATAAGGAGGATCTGAGGAATGAGGGTCGTTTAAGAGTACGAGATAATAAAAAGTTAATCAATCTTAACCCACTCATCTTTCTAATAAGTATTCATTTACTTTATATTTATATATTAATTCTCCTCAATTTGCCTAATCAAATTGAGTCTAAAGTAAATTAGCTGTGTTAAATTAAGAGAATAATTTAACAGTACATATATGGAAGATATTAAAATGTAAATTAATACTAATTTATCTTCCTGTTGCAAATAAATTTTCATTTTCCTAAGACATTCGTATTGTTCTACATAAAACTGATTAATACAAAAATGCAACATTGAACTAGTAATCGCAAGGTATTAAAGATAACAGTTAGCTATAACATAATCGAGTGTAGAATTCGCGAGTTATTTCCGTCGGTGTTTTCGCGGCCCGAGAGCTTTCCAAACATTCGATAAACACGGCACTAGGTCCGCGCGGTTATGAAATAACGGACCTACAACAAAAACAGGGAAAGAAACGGTTTTTGTTTTTATATTGATATGTACACTCGCGCAGATGACAGTTGAGCGGTGGGCGCTTAATAGCCGATAGAAGGCAATAGAGGAGCGGCTCGGTTGACCGACACGTCGGGTACCGTACTAAAAATACGAATTTTGTCTGTTGCCAAATTTCAACAAATATCAAGTTCGAACACGTATGTATGTAGGTATGAGTATGGGCACAGAACCCGGCGTTGTTCAGTTGTCGTTCGTCCGCAAAATCGCGTCCATCGCTGGTCCATTTAACTCAGGTGTGAATTCAATTAATCGCCAATCGCGGATCATCGAATTTCTTACCTAATCCAATATACAATATATGGGATTAATATTGAGAATGAATGTGTATTTAAAAATACTTTAAATCAGTGTATAACGTCAAAAGTGGAAAGTGCACTGCTCGTTAAATACTATTTCTTAATGCAGTATGGAATACATGGCATTTAGAGATAGACTAAACGTATTTAAAAGTATTTTGAATGAATGTATAATTTAATGAGTGCATTACGAGTTAAATACTATTTCTTAATTACATATGCACTAGATATAATTGAAATGCAATGAGTGTGTATCAAAACATATTTTAAATGAATGTATAATTTAATAAGTTGGTAGGGTTTGCAAATTACATACATAAGTTATTAAATATCATTTCTTAACTCAATATACTACATAGAATTGACAAAGAATGAATGTATATTAAAAAATATCTCAAAAGAATATAGAAAGCATAGCAAGTTATATACATAAGTTATTAAATTCGATTTCTTAAATCAATTATATATATAAACTATTAAATACCATTTCTTATTTTGCAATACATGGAATTGAAAGATAGAACGAATGTGTATTTGAAAATATTTTAAACGAGTGAATTTTGTATGAAATGAGTAAACGTGGAAGTGTACGTGTACATAATTTAACAAGTGCATATTAAAACTTCTAATTAGTACATAAAACATGTAGATAAATCGTTAAGTACCAGTGTTTAAATATAGTACTTGAAATGGAATTCGCAAAACAAACTGCAGACGGGACATGTACATAGGCGTAGTAAGTGATCTGTGGATAAATGTTGACTTACATTCTGACAAGGTACCAGGGGAAATAGTGAATGTTAACTCGTATCGATAAATAGATAATTTCAAATCTGTTCAGATTTAACAAACCGTTTGTCTAATCGCACCGTGACAAATTAAACAGCTGGCAATTGCCGCGTCGTCGTTGTCGTCGTCGAGATGCGATAAAATCTTTTAATGACCGATTCGCAGCAAGTTGCCGCCAAAAATATCAGGTATCGAGGCTTGCCAACAAGCGTAGCATAGTGCGAACAATCGAGAGAGCGATATAAACCAGCGACAATTGCGCTATTGTCGTGAACCGAAGTGAAGTGTAGAAAATTGGCGGAACATTAAGTCGGTGCGTGAGGAGTATCAATCTTGTGAAATCTGTATAATGCAAGCATTTTGTAGAAATCTAAGAGGTTTAATTAATGCGCAATGTATGTATAGTAGATGTCCCAATTTCTGTTTATAATGTCTACTCGCTGGTTTATGATTATATAATAAATAATAGAAAAAAGCTAGCTGAGTAGAAATTGTTATCTAAACAGAAATTGGGTCATTTACAATATGTATAAATACATAGATAAATTCTTTGTTTCAGCTTTTTTTGCCAAAAAATGAACTTGATTTTTTATTTTTTACTCATTCTTTAACTCAATACTCTCTTTTGTCTCTCATACGTACAATCATTCCGTTTAATATTCGTATTTATTCCAAACCTGAATAATTTTTTAGTATCAGACGAATGGAGAACCCATCCCTGCTATATTGAATTGACGCTAAATTTTTTTTAACTCTACAATTAAACCCTCTTCAATCCAGCCTCAATTATGTCCTTAATCAAGTAACTCTTCTTTGTAACTATTCCTCTCTTCCCTTTGCACTTGTTAAACCTTTCCCTTTCATTTACTTTTCCCTCATACATTTTTTCGCTAGTTTCTTCCCTTCGTTTAGTCTCACCTTTTCCTACCCGTTCTAAATTTTTCTCTTCTTGTTTCTTTCAAAATTGTGCAATCAGGTGTTTGTATACTTAAACCTAACGCCCGTTTTAAAACTAGAAGTACCGATCTTTTTTTACTCTGTTATTTTTACTAGTTTGATAGTTTCACTGTGATAATACCTGATTTGGACTGTTTCAATTTCTAATTAAAACTCAATGTATGAATTATCGATAAATATGTGTGCTGAATATTGTAGAATTTCCTTATTCGTACGAAGACAGTATGAGATTTTCAATTAAAAACAGTATACAAATTTTACAAGTGCTTGCATTAATCAGGTTCGGAGAATTGATGTTTCGTACATCCCCTCTTAATTAAAACGAAATATTGATTGGAATTAGCTGGAAAGTGAAAGAAAATGTGCAATCGAGTCCTGGTGGCCCATACAGCTTTCTTATACTCGAAGGATGCCTCGTCCGTGACCTGATCGACCGGTCGATCGAGGACTTAGGCTCTAAGAACCAGTTAGAAGATTTTTAGGAATCGTTTCATCCAGCTTTCATGCCGGCTTTCGTCCTGAACAGAGCCTATTTCGTCTGTAACGATGATTATCTCGTAAGTTCAGTTAAATGCTCTTTTCCATATTAAATCAGCTTTCTGGTATAATAATACCCAGAGTGAACCAATTTGAACTAATTCATTACATACTATATCGTTAAAACAAGTTTCACATGAATTTAGTATATTATAGGGCTAATAATAAATCATATGAAATTTTATTCTTAACTCTTATGAAAGAGACAAGAATAATTGATTTAAATAATTCAGGACTTATTGATATTACTGAAGCATTACTGACATTATTACTGAAGCATGAATTTAGTACGTAATGAAGCTAATAGAATTTGCCATATGAAATTTTATACTCAACTCTTGTGAGAGAGACAAGAATAATTGATTGTGAACTATGATAATGCTTTCAAAAACATATTTCACTTTTAGGAAAGCTATTTCGTATAATTATTGTTTTATAATTCACACAAAAATTACATTAATTTATAACATTGATATCTAAATATCGGGTGAAACAACATTAATGCAGGACATAATAAATTAGAGTATTAACTATATTAATATAAATACGTAAATATAATATAATTTAATTCAAATTCTAAACAGGCTGAAATAATTAATTACTTATATTGCTATAAAAGGCTTTATATGAATTTAATTCACCATGAAGCTAATAGAATTTGTCATATGAAATTTTATCTCTTGTTTCAAAAGTTTTAAATAAAATACGGTTATAGATGATTAGTTCTGTTGACTCGAGTCCAATCTGTACATTAAATGATACTAATTTTGCACTAACGATAATAATTAGACTGCGACTGTTAATGCACATTCCTATTATTCTAAATATATAATATAAATAAAAATAAAGAAAATAAGGAAAAGAAATGCATTTAAACACCCGCTTTCTCCTCTAAATATTATAAATTATATTTTGTATTTCCTTGCATATGTATTATTACATACTGTGTTACATCAAATTATTTAAAATTTCCGTAAATGTACAAACATCCGTAGCCTATTGATAACAATTAAATTATACATTTTGTACAAGAAACGAAGAACGCAATAGTATAAACGACACATGGAAAGGAACAGTTTCTATCCACTTCTCTTTATAAAATCTCGTCTTTTCTTTAGATATTGTCTGACATATTTATTTAGTATAAAAATCTGCGTAGTCTAATAATAACGAACGACGAGGGGGGCTTAATCAGAGTCATCGAACCTCATCTCGGTGAAACGTTTTAATCTTATTTTCCTCGCGTTCCATATGTGTAACTGTTTGCACAACGTTGACAATCTACGAACGAGATCCGCATTAGTTATTATTAGGGCCCGAGACGTATGGATCATTTCACGCAATGTTTCACTACAATACGTCCTCGTGCAATTTATGAACCGGTATTTCCACGGATTCGTTGTTTTCCGAATCGTCGCCACAGCCTGATGCTATACGAGCAGTAAGTTATTTGTAAGAATTACACTGTTGTTCCCTCGCCGGTTCTATTTATTAACAAGTGATCAAGCTTGCCAGAATAGTTCGTTGTTATCCATGAAAAATAGACAAAAATGTTTTGTTGGATATATGTATACATTATTAAAAGTGTGATGCATCTTTTTCTTAAAGTATTTCGCATTAATGACAACAAAGGAGGAAGGATTTTTGTCGGTTCTATTTATTAACAAATGGTCTATTTTGCCTGAACAATTCATTATTATTTGTACAAAGTAGCTAAAAACATTTCACTAATTATTGAAAATGTAGAGCATTTCTTCGATAGATTTTTTATTAATAAAAGTAGGGAAAAAAGGATATGTTGTCGTACTTATGTTTCATTGAACTTTTGTAAGTAATAACTCGACTGTGGATTTTTATGCATTTATAAAAGACATAAGAGTATTAAATTTTGATCATTGCACTCAATGTGCAAAAGTATAGAAAATATGGTAAGCAAAGTGGATCCTATGACTTTTAATTCATAAAAATGAAAGGTATATCTAAATTTCATTACTTAACTCTGTGTCCCAAATATTTTATTTTGCATAAAAATCCGCAGCCTACTGATAACGCCTTATCTTTGTTGGACGCATCATGTTGACCGATATTGTATCATATGTATAATCTTAAATATCACGAATCTAGTCCGTGCTATTTTGCTAAAATCAGTTAATGATTTCCCAATCTAATTTAGTTATCTATTTCACTTTCATTCTTCTTAATGATAAAATTTAATTTTGCATGAAAATCCTAAATAGAAGGTCTATACATATACTAATTTTCTTGCAGAATATGAGTATGTGCCCTAAAATTGTTTTTAATCGACTATTGATTTGAATGCACTGACTTCCCTATTCTTAATAAAATTGCTTGCTTCGTGAGTTAATCGCCTGAGCAGAGGGTTTGCAAAGTTACTCGTAAGCAGGATTGATAAAGAACAGTGTTTATGACGTATGAGATATATCACAGCATGATTGATACTATCTGCATGAGTTAACTCTACAAAATCCTCGGCGTTCGCGATCAGTTCTTAAACTGATTAAAGACACCGATCAGGCCTCGTTAATACTAATCGGTCAAATCATTTTTAATAATGCATTGCAAACATATAAATGAGAAGTTGCACACCGTCATTGGGTCGGAAGTAACATTCTCGCAAGTGAACGTGATCCATGAATCGTGGAATCGAGCAATTACAATTTTTCATGTCAAACGTTTGGTACGTATTACATTATAAAGATATTTATACGTAAATATTAATTTGAAGTGTTGTATCATGTGTTTTGGAAATAATGAAATACAGATGAGGAAAGTAATTTAAAATCCGAAGGAAACTGTTAAGAAAATTTTAAACAAAATTACAATACTTCTCTTATTAAGCACGCGTCCCATATTTAAAACAATCTCTAAAAAAATTAATTCATCTTCAATATGAATACTATTCGTTTGGTGTGTAATCACAAAAGGAAAGTCTATATTGCATCATATCTTTACAGAGTGATAAAAAGCAAATCAAGATCCAGAGATCAGTTACAGTATCACATGATTACTCATATTAAGGATTTACTATATATTTAAACGAATCGTTGAAAAATTAATTCGTCTCTGAATGCTATTTAGCAATAAAAAAAGAAAACCTGTGATGCATCGTGTTTTCTCAATGACAGATAAACTTGCACAATGAAAGTGGTTCAGTATGTATGAAAAACTGGTGGTACGTTTAGATGTATGGTCGGTACACGAAGGACCTGGGCGAGTACGCGAAGGAAGAAGCTCGGAAGATAAAATACCACGACAAGGTGAGGCGGAAGTATGACAAGACCAGAGCGGAAGAAGAGCTGCGAAAGTCGCGAAGGGGCCCGCTGTGCCGGAAGCTGGTAGCATTGCTGGCCTTCGCCTGGAAGCACACCGGTGCTCGTCTCGGCGAGGACTGGGTCTTCCTGGCACTCCTTGGCATAATCATGGCTTTAATCAGTTACGCCATGGACCGTGGCATTTCCATGTGCAACAACGGTCAGTTCGATTTCTAATCCCACTCTCCTGTTCCACGAATTTAAAACCCGACTCTGCGATCTTTTTGCTACATAAATTATTTCTTAACAACAATACGATTCAGTATAGAGAAGCAGTAGGTCCATTTTTTATAGGACAGAAATAACTATCTTTTGTGAAAGATCGTAATTATCGAAAGTATTGCAATTTTTCGTTAATTTGTTCGGTAAATCGAAGTTCATTAAAGCGGTGTCGTTGTTCCACCAGCCAGGATATGGCTTTATCAGGACCTGACGCACCACCCGGCGCTACAATACCTCGCTTGGGTATCCCTCCCGGTGTGTCTGACCCTCTTCAGCGCCGGCTTCGTGCACATAGTCGCGCCGCAGAGCATCGGCTCCGGTATACCGGAGATGAAGACCATCTTACGCGGCGTGGCACTCAAGGAGTACCTCACTTTCCGCACCCTGATAGCGAAGGTTAGACGCGAGACTCATCGATTCCTCTCTTATTCCGTTGCTCTTCTTATACATACAGGGTGTCTCCGGATTAAACGATCAAACTACACTAGTATGTTCTATGAGTAAAAATAAGAAAAATATGTTATATAAATATAGGTCTGTAAACGCTTTATTATCACAATTTATTACATTGAAAAGAAATTTAAGTTTCCGTTTTAAAGTGCCATCCCGTTGAGAATGCAATTTAAAATTCCTCGCGTAGACGCGTTCAGTTCCAATTTGAAATGGTCGATCGCAGCTGTGCAAGAACTCTGCCGAACACCGTGAAATGTGGTATTCCCCTGTTAGAAATATGCAGCCTTTCCAGTGTGTCAGAAAATGAATACATATAGCCTTTCACATCCCTGTTATATCCCGTTGAGAAGAATTTTGAAGCACGTGTCCGAGTCAGTTCATGTCTAACAGGTGATAGGTCTGACGGCGACCCTCGGTTCCGGTTTGCCGCTGGGCAAGGAGGGTCCCTTCGTGCACATCGCCAGTATCGTGGCCACCCTTCTATCGAAGCTGGTCACCAGCTTCCAGGGTATATACGAGAACGAGAGTCGTAACTGCGAGATGTTGGCGGCAGCCTGCGCCGTGGGCGTCGCCTCCTGCTTCGCAGCACCGATCGGTGGTGTTCTGTTCAGCATCGAGGTCACCACGGTCTATTTCGCGGTGAGGAACTATTGGCGCGGATTCTTCACGGCCGTTTGCGGTGCCACGATGTTCCGATTGCTGGCGATTTGGTTCCAACGGGAGGAAACGATCACCGCTATGTTCGTGACCAACTTCACCATGGATTTCCCCTTCGACCCTCAGGAGCTGTTCGTGTTCGCTCTGATCGGCGTCGGCAGCGGCCTTGGCGGCGCGTTTTACGTTTGGCTGCACAGGCAATACGTGATATTCATGAGAAAGAACAAGAGCATGAACAGCTTCTTGCAGAAAAAGTGAGTTCTTTCATGTCTGTACTCAAATACTATTTAGAAACACCATATGAGAATTGCACATTTATAATAGAACTTTTATTATACGGTGTCCCAAATTTTAATGTTCAAACTTTGTCAATACATTCTATGGCACTAAAAAAGAAAAATGTTATATAAACATAAGTCACATAGCGCTTTATTAAAAAGTTATAACAAATATACGAAATACAAGATGACTTCCAGAGTTAATTAATACTCGATTTAAAAATGTCTACCGTTATTGACAATACATGATTGACAGCGATCGAAGATAGAATTTATAACTGTGCGAATTATTTCTATTCTGTTTTATTTCATTGAATGCATTATTAATCTCCTCTATTAGTTGTTGCCGCGAATTGACGTTTCGAAACTGATACTAATTCATCATAACAGTGCAGATATGTACTTATTTTATACATACATATGCAGAATAAGACATACTCGGTACGATAAAATTCTAGTCGTTTCCTGTATCCCGGGATCGTTTCCCTGTTGGTATCATCGGTGTCGTTTCCCTTGGGACTAGGCCAGTTCATGGCTGGCGACTTGAACACCCACGACCAAGTGCACGGCCTCTTTACGAATTTCACTTGGACCGAACAAGAGTTGGGCGTCGAGGAAATGAACATAGTGAAACACTGGTCCACCGAGTATACAGACGTGTTCATTGGTCTGCTAGGCTTCGGTGCTTTTACGGTAAAATAATTTTTCTACGAAATTATCCTTCTTCTAATAAACCATCATATCAAAGCAGTTCCTTGTTAATTCACCTTGTATTATATCTTCCATTCCTTAATGAATTTCTCCGTTCTCCATCAAACGGTGCTTTTAGGGTGAAACATTTTACTATGAGATCAGTTCTCTTTCACTTTCTAACAAGCCTTATAATGAACCATATCAAAGCAGTTCCTTGTTAATTCACCCTGTATTATATCTTCCATGCCTTAATGAATTTCTCCGTTCTCCATCAAACGGTGCTTTTAGGGTGAAACATTTTACTATGAAATCAGTCCTCTTTCATTTTCTAACAAGCCTTACAATGAATCATATCAAAGTAGCTCCTGTATTAATTCACCCTGTATTATATCTTCCATTCCTTAATGAGTTTCTCCGTTCTCCTTTAAGCAGTGGTTTTACGGTAAAATATTTCTGCCATAAAATCAGACTTCTTTCAATTTCTAACAGAGCATGTAATAAATCATATCAAATTAGTTTCTATATTAATTCACCCTTCCTTATTACTTCCATTGCATAATTTTCTTATTTCATTAATTTCTGTTCTCCATCAAATGTATCAATAACTTAAACACTTGTTTCAAAAGAAATATGTATTTTAAGAAATATGTAAATATGTGTTACTTGAACCTTTCAGTTCATCTTCTCCATTATAAGCTCGACGGTGCCGGTCCCGTCAGGTATTTTCATCCCGGTGTTTAAAATCGGAGCCGCGCTGGGTCGGTCCGTAGGCGAGGCGATGGCACTCTGGTTCCCAAACGGGGTCCGTTACGGCGGCGTCATAACTCCTATCGTGCCCGGTGGTTATGCTACTGTAGGCGCGGCAGCGTTCTCCGGCGCGGTGACCCATACGATCTCTGTCAGCGTTATCGTGTTCGAGATGACCGGTCAAATCACCCACATCGTACCAATAATGATCGCCGTGCTGATCAGCAACGCGATCGCCGCCCTTCTTCAACCGAGCATATACGACAGCATCATACTAATTAAAAAGCTACCATACCTGCCCGATCTGCTACCCTCCAGTTCAGGTAAAAACTACTCTCTTTTTGTTAATAAAAAATTATTATCGTTTATTATTTCGTATATTTTTTATCAATTGTATTAATTATATTAATAAAAACCGCACGAACTTTTATACCTAATAATTGTGCCAGAATTCTATCAATATGTTGAATAACATTAAATGAACAATGATATAATAATATTAAATGAACAATAGTTGTCATATTTTATCAGTATGTTAAATGGTATTACTATCGTCTCATTGTTTCTCTCGCAAGCTTTCCAAAGGCGATCCAGGTAGTAAGAATAATCAAAATTGAATTAGTTGTAAATTAGAAGTGAGTTGGATAGAGGAGAATCGTGAATTGTTATAGGGATGTACAACGTGTACGTCGAGGATTTTATGGTCCGCGATGTGAGGTACATCTGGCACGGGATCACCTATCAGAAACTGAAGGAAATACTGAAGGAAAACCGCAAACTTCGTGGTTTCCCTTTAGTCGATAATCCTGACTCGATGATCTTACTTGGGTCCATTCAGAGGCTGGAATTGATTAAGATGATCGAGAAACACATTGGGCGTGAGAGGAGATTGCAGGTATTTTCAATTCTTAAAGATTCATAATTTACTGCGAATTTTTATGCAGAATCGTATTTTCTTAAACATATTTTGAGAAATGTAATCCATTTATGTAGGCTTTTCATTTTCATAATGATTTTTAATTTCGTAGTGTGAAATGTATATCAATGGCTNCCATCAAATGTATCAATAACTTAAACACTTGTTTCAAAAGAAATATGTATTTTAAGAAATATGTAAATATGTGTTACTTGAACCTTTCAGTTCATCTTCTCCATTATAAGCTCGACGGTGCCGGTCCCGTCAGGTATTTTCATCCCGGTGTTTAAAATCGGAGCCGCGCTGGGTCGGTCCGTAGGCGAGGCGATGGCACTCTGGTTCCCAAACGGGGTCCGTTACGGCGGCGTCATAACTCCTATCGTGCCCGGTGGTTATGCTACTGTAGGCGCGGCAGCGTTCTCCGGCGCGGTGACCCATACGATCTCTGTCAGCGTTATCGTGTTCGAGATGACCGGTCAAATCACCCACATCGTACCAATAATGATCGCCGTGCTGATCAGCAACGCGATCGCCGCCCTTCTTCAACCGAGCATATACGACAGCATCATACTAATTAAAAAGCTACCATACCTGCCCGATCTGCTACCCTCCAGTTCAGGTAAAAACTACTCTCTTTTTGTTAATAAAAAATTATTATCGTTTATTATTTCGTATATTTTTTATCAATTGTATTAATTATATTAATAAAAACTGCACGAACTTTTATACCTAATAATTGTGCCAGAATTTTATCAATATGTTAAACGGTAGTTGTGTCATATTTTATCAGTATGTTAAATGGTATTACTATCGTCTCATTGTTTCTCTCGCAAGCTTTCCAAAGGCGATCCAGGTAGTAAGAATAATCAAAATTGAATTAGTTGTAAATTAGAAGTGAGTTGGATAGAGGAGAATCGTGAATTGTTATAGGGATGTACAACGTGTACGTCGAGGATTTTATGGTCCGCGATGTGAGGTACATCTGGCACGGGATCACCTATCAGAAACTGAAGGAAATACTGAAGGAAAACCGCAAACTTCGTGGTTTCCCTTTAGTCGATAATCCTGACTCGATGATCTTACTTGGGTCCATTCAGAGGCTGGAATTGATTAAGATGATCGAGAAACACATTGGGCGTGAGAGGAGATTGCAGGTATTTTCAATTCTTAAAGATTCATAATTTACTGCGAATTTTTATGCAGAATCGTATTTTCTTAAACATATTTTGAGAAATGTAATCCATTTATGTAGGCTTTTCATTTTCATAATGATTTTTAATTTCGTAGTGTGAAATGTATATCAATGGCTTTATATTTTTTTTTATGATTATATACAACAGGTGCATTTTCTTACATTCGAATTTTCTTTAATCTTATAATTCTATAATCTATTAATAATTTACTACGAAATCAACTTTACGTAAAATAAATCAAGCATATGTTTTACATAATATATTTGCAGAATATGCGTTATAAAATAATAAACTCGTAAAATTAGCGTACAGAATGAGTGCATAGCGTGAACTTATAGGATTAGTGTTGAAACTTTCGGATAAGTAGGAAGAGCAGGGTTCAATTTGTTTTCCAGGTGGCCCAGAAGTGGCATAAGGAGGCTGAGGAGCGAGCCCGGGAGGAAATGGAGCGACAGTTGAGGGACCAAGAGAGAACCAGAAGGCCGTCCAGGTTTGAAGTAATCCCAGCGCCAGATATTCTGAAGATGCAGAGGCAAAGTGTCAACGATCTAACGATGTCGCCAAATGGTTCCGCTCACGACCATGTGAGTCACACGTATAATTATCGCGTAACTTATGATTGTCTTTCGTCTATCCCCTCATACCAGTGACAGACACGTGCTTATTGTTAGAAGACAAATCCCTCACTGTAATATGTATATGCAAAATTCTTCTTTCATGCATAAAACTCTCGTTACTGCATAACAATACTCTTTTTTTTATCACATATAATAAGATAAATGTCCTAATTTCTGTTCATATCACAATTTCTACTCACTGGTTTATTTTTCGATCGTTTTAAGATAACACATAAGATAATAAAAAAATACTATACATATAAAATAATTAAAAAATAAATCACTAAGCAGAAATTATGAACAGAGATTGGGACATTTACTACAATAGGTGTACGATAGTATTTTTTAAAACTAGGAATATCGATAGTATCATAAGTGTGATATTCATGTGTTACTCTTCCTTTGTCACGTAGCACACGTACCACTCGCCAATATTTGGCTCGCAGCCGAAGAAGTCGATCCTGAAGAAGACCAATTCCTTCACGTTGAAGGGGTTCAGCCCGCTGGTCAGTCCGGCAGCTACTCCTTACACCACCGTCACAGGAGCTGAGAGCAGGTATAAACTTCTTCTTCTTTCTTATTATATTAAGAACGTTCGTAAGGAGCAGTCGTGCTCAGCTTAGGATGAATTCACGTCCACATAAGACAGGCAAATTCTTTTTACAACCTGTTTAGCAACTCATACTGGCCCCTCTTCACTCGTTTACACGTTATACACGTTTCTACATCATCCGCTGATAGAACACGGAATTAAAATATAGCACTTGCATACGAATTTGGAATTCAAATTCCAGAATACGGTTGGCGTTCGAGGCGATATTCCGTAAGTCAGCCACGTTGCAGGACGTGGATCCAGATCCGGAGATCGGAAGGACTGGTCCGAGGCGTGATAGCCAGGAAGTACCACCCCACACGCCGATGTTGGCTCCAAGTCCGGCCACCTCGAAGAAAGTGCAATTGGTAACGTTTAAATACAGTTTTCTTATCTAATAATAGGAAACTAGTAATATACGAAATGAAAAGCCAGTGCGTAGAAACTGTTACATAAACAAAGATTGAGTCATTACTATAATTCGTAATTTAGTCCGCAAGTTGAACCATTATTATCGAATACAATTTATGTCGTGAAGAAAAATGTAGAAACACGTAGAGCATAAAAAGTGATCTATGAAAACGATCAGCCTCGTGAGAGGGTGATAGATATGTCGGCAGAGGACCAAAAAGGATGGGAGGAGAGCGAAATGGCGTTGGAGGTCGATTTCTCCAGGTGTCACATCGATCCAGCACCCTTTCAATTAGTCGAGCGGACATCCTTGTTGAAGGTGCACAGCCTCTTCAGCATGGTCGGGGTGAACCACGCTTACGTGACGGCCATCGGTAGGCTGGTCGGAGTCGTTGGTTTGAAAGAGGTTTGTTTCCTATTATACTATAACTCAAACCTCATTCTACTCCGTACAAATATAATAAATTTTTTCGTTCATTTTTCTAAGTTCGACTAGAAAATATATAAAACTGAACTTCTAGATTGTTACGTTTATTTAAACAACCTATAACTCAGCACTAAGTAGACTACGGATTTTTATGCAAAATAAAA